CCTCCATTCGTGAGGACTTCCCCTTGTCTGAGCGAAAAGATGTTGCCACAACGGGCAGACTCATAGGAGTATCTGCAAAACTCGAGAGCAACAAATCAGAAATCAGTAGCACAAGCAAAGGTAAGACATCAAAAGACTGAATTACCTTCTGCTTCAATGTTTGGGGGGTTGACGCCCTGGTAAGAAGGTGGCTCATCCATGGGTTGTGATGAGGACTCTGGGACTGAAGATGTCTCTTTAAGCGTAGCCCCCTCATCAACCGGTTTGGATAAAGTAGCATCAACAGAGGATGATGGAGCAGGAGCTGTCGATGCCAAAGCCTTTGAAAGAGAGGCTGAACTTTTCTGAGAAGTCCAAAAAATCATCAGCACACAGAAAAGTTTCAAGTATGAAAAAATATGCTTGTGAGTAAACCAATTTAATTACCTTCCTCCTGACGATAAGAGGGGCATCATCATCATCATCAACATCATCCTCCAGAATGGGAGATGCTGAGGCTGGCCGTTTGCGGCTTGGGGCACTCTTGGCTGTAGTAGGCTTAGCAGGGAGAGAAGAAGATGGACGAGCAGACTGTTTAGTGCGACGAAAAGGAGAAGGACTCCGAACGAACAAAGAAGTGACCAAAACAGGAGGAGGGGAAGAAATACTCGGCTGGTCTAGTGAATGAAAGGCACGATTGGCGTCAGTCGCAAATAATCTACGCTTCACTGACGGCCAGAGCTGTTCAAAAAGAGGGTAAATGACGTGGCTAGAATTGAAAGGGGCTAATGAAAAATGGCTGGTTAAAAGAAGATTGCGAGCATTTATAGCCTCTGCCTCCGCCTTATTAATAGTATAAAAACGGTCAATTAAGTTCCTTGAATAGCAAGGAGGAACAGGCCAAGTTTGGTCGAAACCAAGCTGGCGAGCAAAAAATTGGGGAGCATAAATTTCCACCCCTGCCTTAGCATTGGTCCCAGTCAAGATATCATGAAATAGCTCCCTTCCGGTTAAAAACTGGATCCAAATGAGCAGGGAGGTGCTCGCGCTGTCTATAGTGGAGGGGGGATGTACATAGTTTGGAGTCAAAAAAGGAGGAAAAGGAAAAAAGGAAGAGATTGAATCCAAAGAATAAAAGAATGAAAAAATGTCCCTTCTGGACATATTTACAGGAGCCAAGGGCTCCATGGCTAGCCCATAACAGCTAGCAGAGGAGCGAGAGATTGATGGAGCACCAAGCAATGGAAAATAGGATCTCAACCACAGTTGAGTGAACCAAAGAGGTCCACTGCCAGTGGGAGATGCATCATTCTTCAATTGAATTTGAAGAGAGGCCATGCCTCTATAAAGGTAGCCAAAAACAAAGAACATAAATTCAAAGGCCTGCCACGTGCCAATTCGTGCGCTATAGGTAAGTAACTCAGGGAGGGCTTTATGCTTGGCACACACAAAACATATTTACAAAGCCAAACTAGAAGGAAGGCCACTCGCTCAGTATGGGAAGGCTCAGCGCTCGAATGATTGTGAAGGGTTTGCAGGCTTGAATAAGAATCGGTGTAGTTTTTACCAAACTTTGGGGCGCCACCAGAAACCAAGATACCAAGAAAAATGGTATCGCCCAAAGGTAGTAGATTCACCAGGGCCCCAATATCCCTTAAGGTAATAGACATGGGGCCAAGAGGAAAAATAAAGGTGTTATACTCGGAAGACCAAAAACTCAAAGCAATCAAAAAGAGTGTTGAATCAAAAGTAGGGGGGCGAATAGAGATTTCTAACAAATCAAAAATCCTAGCGCTATCAAAAAATGCCTTAGTAGGACCATGACCCACAAGGCGAGCATGCCACCTACGGAAAGCTACATCAGATTTAGGCCAAGTGCGAATACCTCTTTCGCGAAGTGGCCCCAGTGGCCGAGAGTTTAGAAAAGGAGGACCTTGAGTGCAAGGAAACAGCTGACCCACCGCCGCCTGTTCAACTGCCTCTGCATTGTTGAAGAAAGGACCCAAGTAGAACTCATTACGTTCGACATCGGCGGGCGCGAGAAAACTCGGAGTTGTGTATGGGCGACTCAAAAGTTTCTGAAAGTCATCAAAACTAAAGGAGTCGCCAGCTTGAGATTGTGAAGCAGCCATTTGAGAAGGAACGAAGTTTTTCAGGGTTACGTAGCAGGGAAGCAAAAGATGAACAGTAAATCGTGAGAGAGACGCAAAAAATTTGAGGCGTGGTTTAATGGTGCAGTGAAATGGCGTGTTTGGGGGTTATAAGGGTTTGCAAAACGACGCACCTTTTCAAGTTATAGAAGAAAACAATGATTGAAACTCGTGGGAATTTCGAATGTTGCTGGAAACACAAAGTGAATATAGCAAAATTTAATAATTATTATTAATTCTGCCATATTGGGAGGTAATTGTTGACACATAAAAATTCAGCCCAAATCGAACGGCCCAAGGAGTGAAACTCAATTGGAGGATCCCCAAATCAGATAGCCCAAAGAACGAAGCCCAATCAAACAAATCAAAATGAAGGCCCAAATAGGGAGGCCCAAGAACGCGGTAACGCCATCGCCCAAGTTTGTAAGTCTCCCAGAATCGGAACAAATGGAGTGTCATACAGTCGCCCAAGGCTGTTACTCTATTCTCGCCCAAACCTTCAAGTCGCCTAAGGTCTTAACAAACATAAAGCGTCGTGGTTATCAAGAAGTGCAGTTATCAAAGCAGTTATTAAAGCAGTCTTATCACGTTCCACGATTCAAGGAATTCAATCGAAAGTGGTTGAACGATGAAAGTAATGGCAGCAGTTAAAAAATGCAGTTTTCATGACAAGTTGGCCATTACGAGGAAAGTGGGCAGTTATAGGACGATCAAACAGTTTTTAGGGTGGTTGATCACAAAGAGATCGTCCATGAAGTATAAAAGGGAGAAAAGACATAAAAGCAAAGGACCGAATCAAAAACTCTCAAACAGAGAATATGTAATTTTAATTTCCTTAGCTTAGACTTAAATACTTTTCTTTCAGTAACTCGTGTGCTTGCGCCCCTTAGAGGCACATTGTTTTTAATTTCCAATTGTAAAGTCATCGCCAATAAAAGAACACCCATTTTTGGAACTTTGTCTCAAGAGATTTATCCCTTACACAATCGTCTGATCCTTTTTAATTGTTAGCGACTAACCCGCGCGAAACACCCGCACTGCCTTCACCCGCACATCATAGAATGATACAAGCTAAATCGAGAGGAGTAGGTAAGAATTCACCCGTTCAACTGCTTAATTGTCCTCCCCTAATTCAAATAAAGTTGATGGTGGAACTTTAGTTGGTGCCCAATCAAACAGCATGCTAACGATGGGAAGATTTAGTGCTGTTGCATTATAATTATTAGAATTATATAACTTTATTTTGTAATATTTATAAAGATATTATACATATTTTAACGTTAATTTTTAGATTAATATTTATAACTTAACCTATTCGATATATGATATTTTTTTATTTGTTAAATCGTGGTTTTAAATCAAACCGAACCGAGAAAATGGTTTAGATTAATTTGATTTAGAAATTAAGATGATTTGATTTGATCTGAAGAGATTTCAAATAGATTTAAGTGCTTTGATTTGAAAATTTATCATTTAATGGAAATGAGAGGAATATGTGAAAACATACCATTGGTATAGACGATTGACTCTCTCTCTCTCTCTCTCTCTCTCTTTCTCATTTTTTTTAACCATATTTTTCAATTAATAAATAGTTGAGTGGATCCAAATTCTAGTCGAGCTTAATACCTACATGTTTCGTCATATCAAAAATAAATAAATCACAACATTTTCTAATAGCATCTTATACTGGGTACAAAGTATTCTTTGAATCTTTAAGTTACAAAAGGGGAAAATTATAACAAAAATCCACGACTGAATGTAACAAGTAGGTTCTATAGTTTCACATAGCCTGTTGCAGTTGTTCACAAGTGACGAGAAAGAATCAGAAATCTGCAGAAGGAAATACCCTTGGTTGTGAACTCAATCTAAAAGCTCTTTTGGTCCCCCAACAACCTTTTCAAACACGTCGCATTAAGAATCACCCTTTCATTCCACTGTCGGGTGCACAATAGCGAGGAATGGCTGACAGTAAACACTAAACAGCAAGCAAGGAGTAGTTTGGCAACAATCAATATAGATGTATATAAGCAGATGGTACAAAACTTTTCGGAAAAAATCTATTCCAATAGTTCTAACCACAACAAGTGTCATAGCAAGAGTACAGGAGCAAACTAATGAGAACTTGAAAATTTAACCTTCAATATCTGATATCACATCTCATCGAAATTGGTTCGAAATAAATAGGATTCATCGTCTAATTCCTCGTGGTAAAGTGATATGGATGGCACATCAACCTTTGCAGCATCTCCATTGTCTAATGATCTTTTTCCCTGCGAAACATAGATCAGCTGGTCTTCATTCACAATCTACTTTGGGCGTGATGTATTGATCACTAGGAACATGGATGAATGTGCTAAGTAGAAGTTATAAGATCTTTATTGAATCGGTACAGTGGAAGAGACTGTTCCAAATTAGCATGTGCACTTGGTTTATAAGACGCAAAATACAACAGATTGTTATTTGCAGCAATAAAATTTCCCATTTGTCACCAACCTTCTTCAAGATATAGCAGAAATAATGAAATCCATCGCCAAATGTTCTCCACTCAATGGACCAGGTAAATACTGGAGCATTAAAGAAAGGACGCCTGAAGTGTGGCTGAGTAACACAGTGTTAACAGTAAGCAAACAGATGAGAGCCTAATTATATATTAATTTATCCGGGGATCATAGAGAGGGATCAATTTATTTAGACTCCTACCTGGCCGAAGGTGATAGAGAGGAAAATGCCATGAGGTTTCAAAACTCTATGAACACCTTGAAGCATTGCCATAACATTACTAGATGTCTCCGGCTTTGGGTTCCATGGGTCGCCACTGTCCACGAACAAGACATCCTTCAAGTTCAAAAAAATATAGATGCTTGACCAATTAAACATCAAATTAAGCATTAAGATCACATTAAGCCTATAATGAAAGCAAGTTTACAAGAACATCCTCCATTCGTTTATTATTGATAAAATTTTCAGCAAACCTCTCTGAGATGAATAGTCTTCTTTTTTGAAAAAATAAGTAAATATATATTTAGGAGTGAAACCGAATTATTGAAATTCAACGGACATCCCTCCACTTATGCTTTTTCTTCCCATTCCTTTTC